GGGCAAGAAGCTTTTGACGCGTGATTCTTTACGTGCTGCCTTTTTGTTGCAATATGGCGATACGCAACGCAACACGGCTATGGCCGCCCGCGATAGGTTGCATGCGAACGAACACGCCATGAAAGCAACTGAAACAGTGCCCGAATATACTCAACGTTTTCACGATATAATTCGTGAAGCGAAAGATATGAACCCTAGCGATCAAATCGGCTGGTACGTTAAGGGGTTACTACCACCTTTGCGCAGCCGGTGTGCGACAAGCGAAGAGGGCAAAGATTGGGACAGCTTAGATAAGCTAATCCTTTACGCTGTTGGGCAAGAGGTTCGATGGCAGTCAGGCAAAGACAAGCCTACCGTCCATGCAGTTAGCGCTGACCTTAATGCGATCACTGCTAAAAAGCCCTTCAATAAATTTAAGCGTTCGTCCTCTGATCGCAATTCGCAGGGTTGGCAACCCGCCAATCGGCCCAAGAAGGCGCGTCTGGAGCAAGAACAGCTGGCGGCACACACTTGCCGCAAATGCCGTCGCGTGAAGCCCGCCCACCAGAGCTGGGCGGAGCACAAGCCCGACTGCATTCGACACCTCAAGGCTAACGCCGAGAAGACGCTGTCCCTTGCCGCGAAGATGGAGAATGCCATGGCTGATTAGCGGGTCGGCAAGCGTGTTGTTGGGGGCTGTGAGCAACCGGAATGTCCTAAGGACTCGGCTGGCTTGCAAATCAGAGAGTCCTTGTTGCCCGTTTGTGATCCGCTTAGCTGTGATCACATGTTCCTCCCGGACGAGTTTCGTAACGTGGAGAACATGTTGGGACGGCAGTTCACCTTTGACGCTGCTTGTAACAACTCTGGCGACAATAGTCTTTGTACACGCTTTGCCTCCCCTTCAAATTCGTTCTTGACCTCCGATGTCTCTGGCGAGTTTGTCTGGGCAAATCCCCCATACACAAAAATTGAGCTTTGGCATAAGCATTACCTGCGCTGCAAGCGTATGCGTCCCGAAACCACTTCAGCGGTTTTTGTAGTACCGAAATGGTCTCAAATTGAAAGACGCATGCGAGCGGCAGGACACCAGCTGCTAAAAACATATGCCGTAGG